GAAAAAAAGCCGTTGGCCCTGACAGGGCAGCTTCAGAGTGGCTGTTGCGGTGCGGTGCGTTGGTGCGCTATCAGGGCTACCAGAAGTGGCAGCAGGACTACAACGGCCTCCCAACGGGGCCCCTGGGGAAATACAAGATAGAAGCAATTAATGCCACCGAGTCTTGCATCATGTACAGAGGATTTGACTATTTGGGTAATGTAGACACAGCTGCGCCGAGATTACACTGAATGGTCTTAGTTCTTGCAGTTGCATCAAAATATGAATAACTCTGTCATTTTCTCATAGTAAGATGTAGAGAAAGCTTTTGATTTTTTTTTTTTCCTTAAAATGGCTCTACAAATATTCAGCAGTTCCTAAGATTTTGCTGGGGCTGGAAGGAGAAAGAGATTGGGAACTTCATCAGCCCTTACCTGCAGTGACAGTAGTACTAAGGAAGTGCAACAAAGATTCACTATTTCATTGAGTTCATAGTTAAATAGTTGGTAGGAAAAAACACTACTTTAAATATTCTTTTTCTTCTAAACCAAGGGATGTTTTTGGTGTCTGTGAAGTCATGATACTGCTTGTTCTCCAGGCATTTATGATGTCTTCAAAGACAAAAAAAGCCAACCCAGCAAGCTCTCAGTTTCTTACAAAATATAAGAGTTTGTTTCAGGTCTCCTTTAAATAACAAAAGCCAAGATGGGGAACAGACCATTTTATTTTTTTTATCGGCAGGAGACCTTGAATTTCCTGCATTATTACGTTCCTAATTCAGAGTCATTGTTTGTCTTTCAAACTTGTAGAGCTTTTTTTGTTACTTTCCCATGTCAAAGCTCTTAGAATCTTACCAAAAGGATACAAACCCCGAGGTTTCCATCTATTTGAAGTCCCATGAAGGGACTTTGGAACTTCAGTGGGCGTTACGGCCTCGCTGTGTTGCTGTGTGGGTTTGGAGGCAGTTCCTAAATTGGCGAGTGAGAACTTGACAAGCGGTACGGGTGGTTCCTGGTATTCTGGAGCAAATCCTCGTTTTTGTCTTTCCAGATGGCCTTGAACATGTTACAGAAATCAAGCTGCAGAAGTGTATGTACATACAGGATGAGTGTCTGCAGAGGCTCAGTGAGACGAAGAATCTCCAGAAGAGTCTTCTCCAGCTGAAGATAATTTCCTGCGGGAATGTCACAGACAAAGGCATCATTGCACTTCACAAGCTGACGTACGTGAGCCGCTGAGCTCTTCTTGCTCCCTAGGTGTTACTGCCTCGCGGTTTTGGGATTATGTTGACTGGACAGGCTAAAGTCTGAATGTTTGGGGGCTGTTTCAGATGTGTGTGGGGCTGTGGGGTGGCTGGGCCCAGGGACCGACCTGAGTGACAGCTGCTGCAGGAAACGTTTCTTCAGGCGTGGTTGAAGACAGTGTTGTGGATAGCTCAGAAAAGATGTGTGGGTTAACACAGGCCTATTAATCAGCCTTTTAAGGCTGGTGTGCAGCAGCTGAGAAAGCTGGAATCATCCGCTGCAGTATGTGAATCCACAGCTGTGCTCCTGCCTTCGGAGCTGAGCGCAGCATCTCCCATTTACACTTGAAGTAACCCATGCTGAGTCCATTCCTGCACAAGTTCGAGCAGGACGTGTGCTCTCTGATGGCGCACAACCATTCCAAGACAGTGTCCTTCCAGGCTGGCACACGAGGTGGGTTTTGCTTGAGAATAAGTAACTAATGATCACCTTGGTTTCTACTCTTGACCCGCTGCTGCAGTTTCTCCTCAGGGCAGGCTTTGATGGTGTCCTGTAACTTTTCCTGTCCTTCTACACCTCATGCCACGTCCTATCTCTCAGTTATCTCGTGCTCACTGTGGCCTGAAAGGTCTTAGGGCAGAGGTGGGTTTTCCAGCTCTCAGGCCTAGGGAGCAGTAGGGATTGGATGCCGTGAGTCTCTGTAGCTCTGACGCACATCCGTAGGTGCCTTGTGTAACTGTGGCCTTAAAGTAACTCGGAACTGCTTAGTGTTACACGGAGTTTGTAGACACCTACAAATGGGTGATGTGGTGACTTGGATTTCATCCTACAGGAAGTTGTTATTAAGGACTTTCTATATTACTTTAATTTACGTTAAAATAACTTTTACTAAATTGCTGTTGAAATTATTAAATGCTATTTAATATAAAGGAAGCTTCATGATGTGGGGGGTCCAGGATCTCCTTCTAAGCTACATAGAAGGACTGAACTTATGGTGAGCTAAAAACTTTAAGCATCCACTTCAGAAAACAACTTCCATTAGAACCGGTAACTTTTTTAAATACTCAAAATAACTATGGAAGAATAATCCTTTGCCTAATTTCTGTGTTAACAGTTAAATAATAATCGCTGACTTTTCTTTTTAAATATTTATAGGAACCTTGAGTATTTGTATCTGAGTGACCTCCCTGGAATAAGACAGAAAGAAACTACTGTTCATGTCCTTCAGCAGGCACTGCCGAACCTGGAGCTGGAGCTGGATTTGGAATAAACACAGTTGCACATAATGGAGATGTATTGGATTTCACACTATTTATCATATATTGCATAAATTAAATTGTAGACACTGCTGTGTTTCTAGGTATGGAAATAAGCCCGGATCTTCCAGTCCAGCTTTAAAAGCTGTAAGCAATCTTTTATGCAATTAAGTTTTGTTAAACTTGCACAACGTGGTGAATCCCCAACAGAAAGGCAGGCTTCTGTGCGTAGCCCTTTTTCTCCTGTTTTTACAGGAAGCTGCTAATACATCGATTAGAAGTTTTCAGATATTTTATTGCCCAGAAATTCTTGCACAAAATGAGAGTGGGAAGGACGTCAGTGCTGTGAAACAGCAGCGCTGCACGCTTTTACTGCGTTGTTCATAGAATGCTAAAATGGTTTGGGTTGGAAGGGACTTCAAA